ACAGCAGCAGCAGCGACCGAAGCAAAAGCAGCAACACAAGAGACACCATCAGCTTTTCTTACGAGAACGGCAAAGGAAAGAGGCGCGAGTGCGGTATTGTTTCTTTTGAGGAGTTGGTTCGCTTCCTTTTCTTCGTCAAACGGCCCTTCAGTGTACAGGGAGAGGCAAATGTCTCTGCTTCGCTCCAACACTCCTAGCACTGCAGCTCGCCCTGACTGAACACCCGCAAAAAGCACAGACAACGAACCCCCACTTTCGCCAAACAGCTGCAGCTATAGCAGCTGTTGCTGCAGCTGCAGATGCTGCCGGCTGCTCCTCCCCCTATAATGCTGTTCTCCTCCCCACTGCTGTGTTGGAGGCTGCGTCTGTTCGCATCAGCGAAGGATGTTGTTGCCTTTACTGTGCCTAAGACATACAGCTGTAGGAGCTCCGAGTTCCTCGGGCGTGATGCAGCTCAGGTTATACATCCCCGTCCTGTGGTGGCACTCGCAGCGGCAGCAGCAGCAGTAAGAGCAATAAATTTGTCCGTCCAATGAACGCAAGAGCAGCAGATACGAACAAAATACAGCCGCTTGTTTCACGCCCCGGTGAAGGGCAAACTGCTATCGTCTCGGCGCCGCTGGCAACAGCAACACAAAACACAGTAACCGTAGAAGGAGCGCCAAAGGCAGCGGCAAACGCAGCAGCAAGAGCAGCAGTACGCACTGATCATCTCTGGCGAGAATCTGGTTCTGCATGCATTGGTAGATGTAAGGCAGGTAATGCGTATCAGACCGGCCGTAGGTCTTCATCTCCTCCGTCAGAGGTCTAAGCAGAAGCAACAGCAGCAGCAGGAGTAGCAGCAGAGGTAGCAGAAGCAAATACACAAATGCAGCGAACATCCACAGCAACGGCAGCATGCGTGAGCTCCTAGGTTCAAACTAGACACGGGTAGCACGACACCGCTACAGTTATCTGGCGGCAAGAAGCCGGTGGAGGGCGCACCTGACTCTCCAGTCCGCTAGCTGCATCTTCGTATCCTTTTGCTTTTTTAAGTAGAAGCTAAGCAGGTTAGCCAGAGAGGCACCACCTGGAATAGCCAGGGTCCGAGCTGCCACGGCGGTATCAAAGACATTGACAAGGTAAACAGAAAAGTCGCGCTGAGACAAACAGGAAGAGATATATAACAAAAGTGAACGTGTTTTGCAGCAGAGGCAAAGAAACTAAGCACCCCCACGGGGAGCAGCACGGGCAACAGCGACGCGGGGAGAGGCAAAAACATATATGGGTACACCCAAGCCCAGCATAAGAAAAAACTGTGGCGTTGCGTCTGGATGCAGAAGCACAGCCAGATGATGTCCGCAGCACAGAAACTCCGAGACGGCTGCAACAGAATGTTGCACCACGGCAGCATGGAACACCGACAACAGACAGAAACGCAACTCGTTCACTCAACATAAGAGATAAACAAACCAGAAGAAATGATGCGCTTGCTGGGATGCTGGTAAGAGCAGCAGGCTGCAACAGAAGCCGCGTGCCTGTGCAGTCTGCACGACTATAGAAAGAGAAGCGAAGCAAACTGACTAGCAACCACTTGATTCTTTTTTTTTTTTT